TATATTTTAGCCTCCAATCCCCTAATCATCTTTGTTGCTCTTCTCTGCACTTTTCTAGAGTCTCAACATCTTCTTTATATCATGGTGAGCAAAACTGGATGCAAATTTAAATACATTTTTAAAAAAATTCTGAAATAGCCACCACTATTTCATTTCCCAGCGGTTCTGAACTCTGTAAAGAAGTAATGTTAATGTTGCACGATCATTATAAAGGCATCAGTATCCATTTCTCATCATGGATATGGGGAAAGGAATTGGCTATTATCTGCCATTCCATCAACCCAGCATTTGCCTAGTGGGCATTACAATATTGTTTTACTGCATCCTCTTAAAAACATCATAGGTCTGAAATGGAGTGGAACATCAGAGAATGCTCTCACCGGTGGATTAGACAGCTGTGATACAGGTATTCTGTATGAAAATTCCATCAATAAATAGGGTCCAGGCAGAAAGCAAGAACTATGCCACAGATCCCTTCTCTTAGCCAGCTAATGTACTTCTGTTCGCTTTGAGTCCAAGCTTGGTGGTCCCTTGGCCATTGCCTTTAGATTTTAGCCAGCCCAAAAGAGTCTGGGAAGAACCTTTCCAGCTTCCTCCTTTTAATTTTTTTTCCTCTAGCAGATTTAAAAAAAAAGGATCAACAAGGATGCCATCATACATAGGAGCCAACAAGTCTATAGCACTCTTCCCTTTGTTTCTTTTTCATTTATCTCCTGTAGCGTGAAGACTAAAACAGCTGTAGGGAGCCTCCATTTTTTGCAGAACTCTTGTCACAAAAGTCACAGGAGCCACTCAGACAACACACAATAGGGATTAGTTTAGTCCTAAATCTCTTTAGAGCTAAGCAGTTGGGGTAATTGATCCATTTTTCTTGTTCCCATTACATGCTTTCCCTCCACAAGACCAATATGTGTGAGCTTGTCGAAAGTTGTTTATAGCTTATATTTAATATTCATACAATCTCTTTGCCTCAAGGATTAACTAGTAGACCTAAAAAGACCTGAAATATGGAGCTGGTTCAATCAACTTGCTAGGTGGAAACAACCAACCAAGTAATACAAGCATGTGTCTTAAATTCTTATACTTTTGACAGGATAGTGGAAGGGGATAATACACTTTTCCCTATCTTGGCGCCCTCTAGATATATTGGACAAATTTCAAATGTCCTAGTTAAATTGATTGACTGTTGAGAGAAAGACAATTCGGTCCACATTCATGATCTGCTCTCTCAATGCCAGTATTTCATCAGCACCTTCTCCATCTTCGTAGCCTAACAGAAATCTGGGAATCCAAAATCAAGGGAAGTCCTTTCTCCGCAGTGAATGCTTAGCTTATACAACACTACACTTCAGGGCTGCTAAAAAAGATTTCAGTTGTGGTGCTGAATCAACATTATCCCATTGTCCTAATAATGGGAGAGAGGGGGACCAACGAGTCTCACTTGGAGCTGTCCATGGTCCTGCCATCTCATGAACTAGATTTTATTTCCCTTATATTGCAGTACAGTGTCTTAATTTGGCACTATCGGTATTAACTTCTGCACAATTCAAATCACTATTGAATGGATGCCTGCCAGCTGCTAAAACCTGCTGCTGATAACAGACTTTGAGGTAGGTATTATCCCAGTAAGTAAGAGGTACGCAGTGAAATTGTGAGGGTAAATGATAAAAAGGCAAAAAACTATTATTTGTAGGTCTCTGAGTATAATTCTAACCCTTAGAGATCCTGGCTGCAATTACCACACCGTTCCATTCAATAAATAATAAATTCAATAAATAAATAAATAAATAAATTCAATTGGAGGATGGGCTCCATCAAAGCTTTAAACACAGAGAGTATGGCTCAGTGCTAGCACATTGCCTTCCCCCAAAAAGATATTAGGTGAAGTGAAAGCAGAGTGCTGATTGGAAGCTCTAATAATGAAGGCAAAGCTCAGATAATTGGGAACATATGGCCAAAAAACAAAGTCATTGGAAAGATCCTAATGTTTGGGGAAATCGAAGGCAATTAAAGAGGAGAGCAATTTAGTAAATCATAGTTTGCAATTGAAAACTTACAGGTCCACTGAATCCGCTCAAACCAACCCGACACAGACAGATTAGGACTTAATGCACCATGGAACTCAGCCAGTGGCAGAGCTCACCTAACACCCGGAACCAAGGGGCTAAGGCTTTGCAGCTGCGTTTTCACTGTGCGCCAAACTTGGTTTGGTTTAACTTTGGCTCTGGGGTTTAGCCTTTTCTTCGAACCTGATCCGCTTAGTTAATTCATGGATCCGTAGATTACGGGGACCGGGGAAAGGCGTTCAATCAAGTCGTCCGAATCAGGTCAGTCAAGTTGCTGATAACGGACCACGTCGTGAGGACGCGACCGCTCACGTGTTCTTTCCAAACACGCTTCCATTTATCCCGCCGCTGGGGTCTCTCACCATCGCCACCCGATCCAACCCCTCCGCTCGTCCACTTGTTCGACAGAGAAGCGCATCGGTGGCCTTTTATGTGCGCGCTGGCCACCTTCGCTTCCCCCGGGCGCTCCGGACAGGATCGGGGTCCTTGCTGGGGGGGGGGCGGGGGTGGGGAGACTGCTGTGCCCGTCGGGGAGGGAGGCGGAGCGGAGCCGGGGCGCTGCAGGTGGGAGAGCCCTGTCGCCGCTGCAGAAGCTCCCGAAGGTCGATCCCTTGTGGGGTCGATTCCATGCTCTGATGAGTCGCGCGCATGCATGGAAATAAGAGTAAAAATGATGATGATGATGATGATGATGATGATGATGATGATAATAATAATAATAATAATAATAATAATAATAATAATAATAATAATAATAATAATAATAATAATAATAATAATAATAATAATAATAATAATAATAATAATAATAATAGGTTGCTGCTGCTTCGTTTCAACAGTCCTATCCAGAAAGAATTCCTTTTCCCCTGCCGATGCCTGAAGCCGCGCACTCTGCCTTCTCTGCAGCCGGGGATCAGGGGCGTCTTTGAAAGCTGGGACGGGGCTCCTTCCCCGGGGACGCGTAGCCGGCTGGGCGTGCCGGCCCTGCCTCTCCTCCGCTTCGCCTCGTTCCTGCTGTTCCGCCGGCGCCACGCGGGCAGAAGGAGAAAAGTTGGCCGTGGAAGTGGGGCCAGGTAAGCCGGGGGGTGGGGGAGGGATCGTGGTGGTGGAGCTGCTCCAGGAAAGAGGGTCAGTCTTTCTTCTTTAGGGGAATCTCGTTCCCCCCCCCACCTAATGGACCCCTTTGAAACGCAGGAGGTTCCCTCCTGATCTTTTAGGTGCCTCCTGCAGATGTTTAGAGGTAGAGGGTGTCTTGCCTAACAACAATATGTTAATAGTGTTAATAGAATGATTAACGATGCTGCCTAATAATAATAATAATAGATGGGAGGTTGGCACTTTCCCGTCTGCCCTGGAATTCTATGGCCCTTGGAAGACTTACCCTGCGGAATGATAGTATTTTAGTTTACTTTAATTTGCTCTGCTCTCCTGAGTGGTGTGCGTAAAACTCCCCCCCAAAAATAGAATATTTCATCAAAGGGGATTTGATCAAAATGCTCAACAACAAAAAGAAAATAAAACAATGAGATCGGGACACATTCAAACAGAATTCAGTGGAGTAAGCCAGCATTTTGTCATTGCTCCAGACTGAGAGATTTTTTTATCTTGATTGGTGATCTGCATCTGACTAGTGTAGGATGGATGGATGGATGGATGGATGGATGGACATTGTAAGATATGGTGCACCCCTCCCTTTAACACTTTTGGAAAATAAAAGCTCCACAGTTAAATTATAGCTATTATATTTCATCAGTTATGTTATATTTTATTAAATTTCATCATTTATTTGAAAAATACCATTTATTTGGACTGAAAGCATGATAAACTAAATATCTAGAATTTCTATCTTAGAAACTCCAGATATTTACTTTTTACTCTACTCTTGTTGAACAACAGACCATTTCTTCACAGAGCTTCATTTGTCTTAGGTAAAATTTATCTGTGTAAAAATGGTGCAGGTTAGGCTAGGTTAAGAGAATAAAGCTGAATTCATACAACTATTTAGTCAATGAAAGACTAAATAATTGGTCTTGTTAAATATGTCCATTGTCATTCTTGGGTTATTTTATTGTAGACTTTTTAGGAGTTTAATACTTAATGTAATAGATTAGAAAAGGGGTTTCTTGTGTTGTGTGAATGAATGCAGCTTACAAATCCTGAAATATAAAGATTGAGTTTGACAGGTCAACTAAGTCTGATTTCACTGCATAATAATTGATTCTTCCCTGAACTGATGCCTTCCAGATGTGTTGGCACTATTAAATTCACAGGTTAAGCTTCTCATTATACCACAGTGACCTTTGATAATCCAGGTAAATAATGCAAAAGAATGCCTGTTGGTGGAAAAGGTTTCACAAATACTTTGGTGTCAGAAGTGGAAGTGATATTGACACAAAGGGTCATATTGGCTAAAGGGATGGAAGTAAAAACTCAGCCTGGTTTCTTTCAGAGTGTTGTTTCTATATTCTGGTTCCTACATGCACATTTTTTAGTCAGCCTCTATCCAAAAAGGGATGTGAGCAGGTCCCTCTGGAGAGAAGAATCACACCTTTTCAAAGTAGACATTCTCATTTTCAGCAGCCCTCCTTCTACTGAGAGAACTCCAGTGATGAAATAGACATGTGAACCAGCTCATGATTAATGCAGAAGCAAAACAATGAATATCATAGATGAGTTACTTTGCTAGAGAAAGCTGAATCTCATGAAAGGACTGGAAAGTTTTTATGTTAGTTTCTTCTTTCTCCTCCCCCTCCAATCCATGTCTTACTTATCTGGCATGTTTGTTTTCATTTAGCATATCTCAAGTTCTGTTTCCTGCCACCATCAGAGCCATTGCCTCCTTCTTCTCAGATATGAGGAGCAGCTGATGAGCCATTGCCTCCTTCTTCTCAGCTGATGAGGAGCAGTCCCTTCAGATCATCAAACACTGACTGAATGCATAACAAGGGCAACTTGCAGCTCATCATGGATTATGACAACAACACAGAGACTGATGATTCGTATTTGTTCCCTGCACCTCTCCTCACAGGTGTCACTGTGACTTGTTTGCTCTTCTTCATGATTGGAATTTCAGGAAACATGACGACGATGCTGGTGGTCTTCAAGTTCCGGGATATGAGGACAACCACCAACTTGTACCTCTCCAGCATGGCTTTCTCAGATTTCTTGATCTTCCTTTGCATGCCCCTAGACCTCTTCCGCCTCTGGCAGTATCGGCCCTGGAATTTTGGGGATCTTCTCTGCAAGCTCTTCCAATTTGTTAGCGAGTGTTGTACATACTCAACCATACTCAGCATCACAGCCCTGAGCGCGGAGAGATATTTTGCTGTCTGCTTTCCACTCAGAGCCAAGGCGGTGATCACCAAGAGCAAAGTCAAGCTCCTTATCCTTGTGCTCTGGGTGATATCTTTTGTCAGTGCTGGGCCCATCTTCGTTCTGGTTGGAGTTGAGCACGAGAATGGGACAAATCCTTTGGATACCAATGAATGTCGTATCACAGAGTATGCCATTCATTCAGGGTTGCTGACCATTATGGTTTGGACCTCTAGCATCTTCTTTTTCCTGCCGGTTTTTTGCTTGACGGTTCTCTACAGCCTCATTGTGAGAAAGCTTTGGAAGCGAAAGAAGAAAAACATTGGGCCAAAAGCCTCCATCAGGGACAAGTACAACAGACAAACAATAAAAATGCTAGGTAAGGTACCTGATATACTTTCCCCAAGACAAGCCTGCTTATTCTGTGAATTCAAGATGTGAGATCCATAGTATTGTCTATTGAACCAATTAAAAGTCGGGTTGAAACATGCAACATTTTAAGTAACATGTCCTTCAGATTAGATTTAAGAAGAGACTGGACAGCCACTTGTCTGAAATGGTATAGGCTCTCCTGCTTGAGCAAGGGGTTGGATTAGAAGACCTCCAAGGTCCCTTCCAACTCTATTCTGATTGATTGATTAAGAATGCTATGTAACTTAAAACAGCTTGCATAGCCTTGCATTCTTTAGCAGATTACATTATAGAATAGCTATACTAGCTATGCATGTCTCGTTGGTATATAATGAAAAGTTTGATTCTTCCTCAATGATTCTCCAGATTGTCATTTGAACAAGAGGTCCTGATCTAGAATATATCCATTTGGATATGTGGACTGGACTGATCAGAAAGTTCCATTCAGCTTTGGCTTCCCTGCCTCCAAGTGTGGTTGAGTTGTTATGATGGATTAGAAGTGAGGACATTCAGCTTCAACTCCATCCTCGGCCACAGAAGATCACTGGATGATTGTGAGCCAGCCATTCACTCTCTGCCCATCCTAACTCACAAGGTTGTTGCTGTGGTCGATGCAAAAATTGGTGGAGGTATGCTGTTTTGAGCTACTGGAGGAAAAGCATGATATTCATATAATAAATAAATAACTTTAAAAGTGTTCCCATTTTGAACTGAACTGACATGGTCATAAAACATAAATAACCTGAGGACATGATTTGAACACCTAGAAAAATGAAATGATTGCCTCTGGGCTCCTGCAGGGTGTACTTTTTCACTGTCCTCAGTCAACAGGTTAGGCTAGGTCAAATATCTGTTTGGTTCCTCATGCAGGTGGTGAGATGTTTAAGGCTCTGATGATTACATTTCTCCCTGCTATGACTTTCCAACATCTTTGACATAACTAGGTAAGGCTTGCAGATTTAGAAAAGACATAAAACCCAGTCATACTACTTAAACGTTCAGTTTGCAGAACACTTAACTTGGTTAACGGGCTTTCTAGCCTTCTGCAATATATGGAGTCATAATTTTATCAAATTGTGACTGAGCCGTACCTAACCTAGGTTAAAGCTATCAAGTTTAACATCTTAGTTATGAATATCCATTGGATCTTTAATGATCAGGTTGAATAGTGCATTGGATAGATTTTGAAGTCAGTCTTGCATATATCATTGCTGACCAAATATGATGGTCAGGATCTACAAATTTATTTTCCCTTAGGGAAACTGATACAAGACAGTTTGATAGACCAGATTGCATTTTGAAGAGGAAATCCATCATGCCTGAAAGGTGCAGTTTTCTGCTTGGGAATATGTGCCAAAGAGTAATGTTATAACTTGCCTCCAGATACCCATTGGACTGGATTGCATCCAATAAGAATTCATGTTTAATAAACATTACAAAGAGTTAAACATATAACACTGCCAGAAATAAAAACAATCATTTTTCATGTATTTAATAGCTTTTTGCTTTGGTCACATTAAAAATATTTACATTTTGGAAGCAACCTTTGCAAAGACTTCTGGAGTGCAAATTTGACACTTCTGCTACTTGCTATTGAAGGAAAATGAACATATCGTAAAGAATAATAGAGCTGGAAAGTTAACACTATTGTCATAATCCTGTACACTACTAAAAATAAGCTTTATAGAATACAGGGAGACTCACTTGCGTAGTCACAATCATCATTCAGGAATGAACTCCTTTGGACTCAGTGGGAGCAACTGCATAGTGGCGTCAAAAGGTCAATCCATGATTGTATGGTCAAAGCCTCACCCTTTTCATGTGCAACACATGTAAAAGGGGGGGGCAGCCATTTGATTGCATGACCATCACATAGACTTCTTGGACCCCCCTCCCCCAATAGATGCCCCTGTGAATTGGGAAGGCAGTTGTTCAGTAGATGAACTTTTATGATTGTTGACACATGTTTTTGGCAGGAAGACCAAAGAGAAGTTGACCAAGCATCAATAAGAGTCTTTATTAGGACTTATCTTGTGATAAGGGTGGTGAAGCATACTTTGCCTGTATTTGTTTGCTGATAGCAGCCCAGGGGCCCTGTTTCAAAACTGGGGAACTTGGAAGCAGCCCCTGCCCTGTAGACTACTGAAGATCTGACAGTCCCCATCATTTTAATTTTATTGATTCAGGACTTCGCCCTGTCTCAACGCACTGGAGTAGAGTGTGGTCAAAGATATGAATGAAATAGGTTACATCAGTGAAGTATGGTTGCAGCACTAGATTTTGGTTTTATTGAGGTTTTGTTTGTTTTTATGGTTATATATATATTGTTTTTATTAGGTTGTCAGCTGCTTATAGTTTGGTTTTAAGGTGGGTAGCTTTACAAAGGTTTTAAGTACCGTAAATAAATGTCTAACTGGTTATGCAAATGCATCTCCTAGGACAGGGGTAGGCAACCTTGGTTCTTTTATGACTCGTGGACTTCAACTCCATGAGTCATAAAAGAGCCAAGGTTGCCTACCCCTGTACCTAGGACTTTGCTTGACCTGGTTAAGCACATTGTGTGAAACAGCCATCCTATTAGATTAAGAAAAAATGTTTCACAAGTTGCAGGAAAGATGGTTGGGGGAAAGAAAAAGGAATGGTCTTTCTGTATTGCTGTAGAAAGTCATTGATTTTACAAACTGCAATAAAAGGGATTGGGCTTCCCCCCCCCCATTGTTTTTTTAAAAATTATAATTGCCTCTCAACTCCAGAAATAGTTGTTGATCCTGTTTTCTCCCAAACCCTTTACCTGCGATCCAAAGAGGAGGTAATAGCTACAAAAAACGTCAATTGGTACTAATTTTATGGTTTTAGTCAGTCTTGTTTCTTTTGGTGGAACAACTGCACATCTCTGAATTTTATTTCTTGGTTAAGTGGGAAAAAAAATCCTAGAGCAGTTTATGACTAAAGTTCTGACTGCTGCCTTTCAATTGACATAATTTGCTCTCAGTTGCCATTTCCCCTCCAGAATTCAAGGCTGTCTCCTAGCTCTGATTTCTTTTCAGAAGAACATTCAACATAGACATGACAATTTGGTTTTCCCCAATAAATCACAATTGAAGTTACAATAAAGCTCTGTGGTGTTTTATTGGACTGTGCCAATAAGCATGTAGCAATTTGAGAGGACAATCAGGCTAGTATTTTAAGAGGTTACAAGATTATCATCTTTTAACACAGGGGTCGCCAACCGCCCGGTCCATGGACCGGCACCAGTCTGCAGCATGCCAGAAACTGGGCCACACAAACAAGCAAATCTACATCCACGGGATGCAGGCAGCACAAAGAAACCACACACTCTCCGGTCCACAGAAAAATCTCTCTCCACGGAACCCATCCCTGGTGCCCAAAGGGTTGGGGGCTGCTGTTGTAACATCTTAAAAGAATGACCTGATTTTTGATAGATAGGCTTTCAAGGAAAGAACAGAGGAGACATTGACTTTAGTATGCAGAATGGGTGAATGCTGAAGTGTTCAGGATCAGAGAAGAATCGATGTACAACAATGGCTCAAGGAGTTTTAAAGCTGTTTTGCTCTAGGATCCAGCTAAACCAATCCTTGATTATGCTCCAACAGCTACTTTGACTCATCACAGAAGAAACAATGGCTCTTTTCAGTTGTTCAAATTAGAGTAGCTCAGTTGAACAGTGTAGCTTTATTCAATCAGAATACAGCTGGAAGGGACTTTGGAGGTCTTCTAGTCCAACCCCCTGCTCAAGCAGGAGATCCTATACCATTTCAGACAGGTGACTGTCCATGACTGTCCAATCTTTTCTTAAAAACCTCCAGTGATGAAGCACCTACAACGTCTGAAGGTAAGCTGTTCCACTGGTTAATTGTTCTCACTGTTAGGAAGTGTCTCCTTAATTCCAGGTTGTTTCTCTCCTTGATTAGTTTCCATCCATTGTTTCTTGTCTTGCCTTCTAGTGCTTTGGAAAATAAATTGACCCCCCTCTTCCTTGTGGTAGTCTCTCAAATACTGGAATACTGCTATCATGCTAGTCTTTCTTTTCTCTATACTAGCCATACTCAATTCCTGTAACTGTTCTTCTTATGTTTTTATCTCCAGGCCTTTAATCATCTTAGCTGCTCTTCTTTGCACTTTTTCCAAAGTCCCAACATCTTTTTCCAAAGTCAGCCAGTTACAAATCCATCTGGTGGTGATGCTATCTATCCCACATTTTTCTAGTTTACCAAGAAGTACCGTATGTTGCGGTCTACTTTGTTGAAAGCCTTGCTGAAGTCTAAGTATACTATGTCCACAGCATTTCGCTGGTCTACAATTTAGTCACTTTGTCAAAGAATTAAATAAGATTGGTTTGGGATTCAAACAGGTTTATTATTTATGTATTTATTAGCAATATTTAGCTATAGTTTGTTCCAGTTTAATAGACTCCAGGATCCAACAAAATGTAGAGAAGTGCACTAAAAATATATGAGGAGAATAAAAACCAACAATTAACAACAATATCCAAGGCAATTTTCAATTAATTTAAGAGGCATATACCCCCTAAAATAGTGCTACTTTGGGTTCTTTTTGAAATATTATTATTATTATTATTATTATTATTATTATTATTATTATTATTATTAATAATAATAATAATAATAATAATAATAATAATAAAGTTGGAAGGGACCTTGAGGTCATCTAGTCCAACCCCCTGCTCAGGCAGGAAACCCTATCCCATTTCAGACAAATGGCTGTCCAGTCTCTTCTTAAAAACTTCCAGTGTTGGAGCATTCACCGCTTCTGAAGGAAGGTTGTTCCACTGGTTAATTGTTCTAACTGTCAGGAAGTTTCTCCTTAGTTCTAGGTTGCTTCTCTCCTTAATTAGTTTCCATTCGTTGCTTCTTGTCCTGCTTTCAGGCACTTTGGAGAATAGCTTGACTCCCTCTTCTTTGTGGCAGCCCTTGAGATATTGGAACACTGCTATCCTGTCCCCCCTCATCCTTCTCTTCATTAAACTAGACATAACCAATTCCAGCAGCCATTCCTTATATGCTTTAGCCTCCAGTCCCCTCATCATCTTTGTTGCTCTTCTCTGTACTCTTTCTAGAGTCTCAGCATCTTTTTTACATCGTGGTGACCAAAACTGGATGCAGTATTCCAAGTGTGGCCTTACCAAGGCATTGTAAAGTGGTATTAACACTTCACGTGATCTTGATTCTATTCCTCTGTTAATGCAGCCCAGCACTGTGTTGGCTTTTTTGGCAGCTGCAGCACACTACTGGCTCATATTTAAGTGATTGTCCACTAGGACTGCCTGTTTGTAGTTTTAACCTATTCGTTGTGATTTTCCCCTTTGGAAAATGGAGAATAGGTCCACTTCTTTTGTAGAACAGCTCTTCAGATTTTAAAGACTGCCATCATATTTCCCTTCAATAATCTCTTAGTAGGCTAAACCTACTTTTAGCCATCTCTCATCAGGCTTATTTTGCAGATTTTTCACTACTTGAGATTTAACCCCCTTTTCCCACAAGGCTGACTTCAAACATTTTGGGCCAACAGGCAAATGATGTTTCCTCTGTTAATAACCCACTTATTTTGGCATTCAGGCAGAAAATCCCAGGACATCTTCATTGTTGAAAGTGAGACTGTAGTAATAAATTAAGGAATTAAGGGAGTAATAAATTAAGGAACTCAAAGATGAAGATTTGTTTATCCTCCCAAAAGTTCACTGAGTGATGAATACTTTGCTGCTTTTCTATAAAAGTTGCCTTGGGTAGAGATATCCAAGTTGAGTAGAGATATTACAGAGAAGAAAATGGCAGGTTTAATTTTTGATTGCTTATTCCATCATCACTAGGAAAGGTAATGTTTTGAAACCACTGATATGCCCTCCAATATTATATCAGTAGAAGAACTGTATGGCTATATCCAGAAAGTCACCAGGAACCCAGCTTGATTTGAAGATGACTTTAATGTATTTTATATGGCTTCAAGGAACAAAAGGGTTGAGGATATATCTTACGTATTTATCAGATTTATGTTCTGCTTTTCTTTCAATTGCTCATGACAGCTTATATCAGAATCTCATCCCTAGGAGTTGTTTGGGCAGAGAGAGAGTGATTCAGTCATTCAAGGAAATGTCTATGTAGAGGATGGATTTAAATCTGGGTCTTCCTAATATAACCACTACACTACACAGATTCCTATAATCCAGGGGTCTTCAAACTTGGCCCTTTTATGACTCATGGACTTCAACTTCCAGAATTCCTCAGCCAGTGTGCCTGGCTGAGGAATTCTGGGAGTTGAAGTCCATGAGTCATAAAAGGGTCGAGTTTGAAGACCCCTGCTATAACCAATGAATCATGTGGGTCCATGGCAAGTCCTAAAAGTTGATCATCACCTTACTCTTTGTCCTGATTTATAACCCACCCTTTTTATTTTCAGTAACTAAAATCACAGTTGTACCCCAAATGATACCATCTCCTTTTTTGTTTCCAGTTGGAATTGTTATCAGATCATCGATCTATGAAGCCCGTTAGCATTGACCTAGAAACGTCTACCACAGACAAGATACACATTTGAAAACTTCCATGATCTTCCTGAGAAATAATTTCATCTGTGTTTACCTATGTTCTGTGGTAGGACCCCCCAAGGGAAATTAATTTCTCAGAGGAATATAAGAACAACCTCCTAGTTCAGACCGAAGTCTGTATCCTGCTTTCCACAGGAACCAGATTTCAGACCAAAGTCTGTATCCTGCTTTCCACAGGAACCAGATTTCTGTGTCAACAATATCCTGTCTGTGATTCTTGAAGTAATGTATTGATGCTTTAGCTTGTAGCTCTCTTACACCTTATTTTCCACCAATGAGTGGCAACCACTAGTGATCTCACTTATGATAAATTACACAAGGTGATTCTATACTGGGTGAATAATAATACCTTTTGCTTCTCAAGAGCCTTGACTTCCAGTATTATGTGTTTGAGCACTTGAAGATAATTTAGGTTCCCCTTTCTCATTTTCTCCATTCTCTGCATAATTTTATGCACTTGCACTTCCACATTATTTTTCTTTACTAAATCTCCCTTCTAGATCTGATTCTAAATGGTCCCAAATCCAGTTGAAATCAGTGAAATAACTTAATGCGTGTCAATTCATAAACAAGACTTAGATGCAACTGAGATATTTATTTTTTAAAAAAAGGTTGTATACCATGGACCATAGGCAGTAGTGGGATTCAAATATGCGAACAACCGGTTCGCTGTGTGGATGCCGCTTCTGGAAGTCCATTCTGGGCTTGAACAACAAAAAATTAGCTACTGGTTCTGCCAAAGTGGTGCGAACTGGCTGAATCCCACCACTGACCATAGGTACCCAGTTTATATGTACCAGGACTATATGAGCTTCTCCTTTCTATTGTAGCTTAATAATAATAATAATAATAATAATAATAATAATAATAATAATAATAATAATAATAATAATAATAATAATAATAATAATAATATTGGAAGGGACCTTGGAGGTCATCTAGTTCAACCCCCTGCTCAGGCAGGAAACCCTATACCAGTGATGGTGAACCTTTTAGAGACTGAGTGCCCAAACTGCAACCCAAAACCCACTTATGCATCGTCGGGTGCCGGGTGGGTGTGGCCCATTGGCTGGTGTGGCCAATTGGGTGGGTGTGGCCCATTGGGTGGGCATGGCTGTGGTGGTAACGGCAGACTGGGTGGGACTAAAAAGTTCACTCAATCAATTCCAACTTTGCAAGATTTTTTTTTTCCCCGCGAGAAGTTGAAATTGATTGATTGAACCTTTTTTTTTTTTGCACACGGCGGCGGAGGCCTAAAGCGAAAAGGTTTTATAAAACCCAGCTGAAGGCCTAGGACTGGGGTGACGGCACGCGTGCCCACAGAGAGGGCTCTGAGTGCCTCCTCTGGCACTCGTGCCACAGGTTCGCCACCACTGCCCTATACCATTTCAGACAAATGGCTGTCCAATCTCTTCTTAAAAACTTCCAGTGTTGGAGCATTCACCACTTCTGGAGGCAGGTTGTTCCACTGGTTAATTGTTCTAACTGTCAGGAAGTTTCTCCTTAGTTCTAGGTTGCTTCTCTCCTTGATTAGTTTCCATCCGTTGCTTCAGGTGCCTTGGAAAATAGCTTGACTCCCTCTTCTTTGTGGCAGCCCCTGAGATATTGGAATACTGCTATCATGTCCCCCCTCATCCTTCTCTTCATTAAACTAGACATACCCAATTCCAGCAACCTTTCCTTATATGCTTTAGCTTCCAGTCCCCTCATCATCTTTGTTGCTCTTCTCTGTACTCTTTCTAGAGTCTCAACATCTTTTTTACATCGTGGTGACCAAAATTGGATGCAGTATTCCAAGTGTGGCCTTACCAAGGCATTGTAAAGTGGTATTAATACTTCACGTGATCTTGATTCTATCCCTCTGTTAATGCAGCCCAGCACCGTGTTAGTCTTTTTGGCAGCTGCAGCACACTGCTGGCTCATATTTAAGTGATTATCCACTAGGACTCCAAGATCCCTCTCACAGTTACTACTATTGAGCAAGGTACCCCCTATACTCTTTGGATATCTGGGGAGGGTTGTAAAGAATGAGGCATTGACGGTCCAGAATTGCTTGGTACATGAGATGATGACAGAGGAGCAATTAGATCATAGGGCTTTGCTTGCAAATGAGCAACCAAGTAGTGTCAGTTCTTTTGGGGTCTTGAGTAGAAATATTGCTGGGGAATGATATGAAACATTGGTTTTGATAACATATCAGGAACAAGAGTCAGGGTTTCAAATCTGGAACCTTACAGCATGCTTCTTTTGTGCCCCTCTGTCTCATCTATTCAAAGAGATTTTGTGTACTTTAACATTTTGGAGATACGGTGTAAGTAGAAAATGATAAAGTGGACTACCACCATCTTTTGCATAAGGCCGACAAAAATTTGAGAGATGATCAGCTGCCCAAAGCCATAAAACCAAACAAAATAAATAGTAGGTTCTGTACAAGGCTTATGGGTGAGAGATGAAGAAAGAGAGACGCCAACATTGGTTTCTCTTTCCATCTTTCTCCAATGGCCTCTTGTTCTGCCTTGTTCTGGTCACAGTTTTCTTGATGTGATGAACAACAAGGAACAGCTGGAAGACATTTGTTGCAGGAAGAATAGTTGAAGCATTCCTTTTCTCCTGCTTCTTCTTCCAAGATAGATAGTCTAGATTCCCATCTCAAATACAGCTTGGTTTTCTTTCCTCTGTGCCTTGAGACTTGAATTAAAAGGAGAACTCTTAGCGAATATTTTAATTCACTTTCATATGCATTTGCCCTTTCTCTCTCTCTCTCTCTCTTTTTTTTTTTTTAAACTAGCGGTGGTGGTTTTGGCTTTTGTCCTCTGCTGGCTGCCCTTCTACCTAGGACGTTATCTCTTTTCCAAATCCTTCGAGGTTGAATCCCTGGATATTGCCGTTATCAGCCAATACTGCAATGTAGTCTCCTTCGTTCTCTTCTACCTAAGTGCTGCCATCAACCCAATCCTGTACAACATCATGTCGAAGAAATACCGAAAAGCAGCTTACAGGCTCTTTGGAAGGAAGCCACCAAGGAAGAAAAAGATTTTGGTGATGAAGGAGAGAAGATGCCAGACCTGGACAGAGCCCAGAGTCAGAGCAATGTGACCGCAGAGGTTGGACCGAGGTGTCACGTAAAGCCACTAGAGAAGGGGAAAGGTGTTCAGGTTGGCTAATAAGAAAGTATTTCCTTCTTTCCATGATTGGGAGGGCTTGCAATTGAAAACTCAGGTATGGTAATGAAAAGGAGCAAAAAAAATATATATATGCAGAGCTGTGAGAAATATTATGACAGATGTTCTGTGTAAATATATTCATCAGCAGTGGATGAAACAGCTATCCTTTTGAATCATTTCCAGTGCCTATGATTCTATGCATAAAGATGGGAATTGAGGTGTCTTATGTTTATAAAGCACAAACGTGAACTAGCAGAGCCTGTCTTTATGCTATGCAGCCCAGCATGGGGAGGAACTAGCTGTGATGCAGAAGCTCATTGAAAAGGTTTCCCCGTCAGGTGGGATCTTTATGTATTTTGTACTGGGTAAAGGAAGGAATGTCATCAAAAGCAAGGAAACTTCCCTTTCCTATGTCAGCAGGAAGACCTTGATAGAGGCCAGAACAGATGGTTTCCTTCATCCCTATGGAACAGTATGCACCAGCCTGCTATGGGTTGCTTGCCACCTCATCAGTGTGACAATCAAGTTGTAGTGGATCAGAACCCTTTCTGCAAAAGGGGTCCAGAGACAGGAATGTGGTAGTCCTGGAGATAGAGACCCAGTAGAAGGTATCCTTTTCTGGTCAATATCTGTCAGTTAGAAGACGTGTATCATGGCATACAGAGAAGGTAGTGCCCTAAGGAGCAGCTGTGCCAATCAATAGATGATTGAGCTCTGGCCAAATCTGGTCAACCGTAATTCAAACCTAAGATGCCCAGAATGGAAGTGGTAGGGGACTTTGAAAGACATTAAAAAAACACCTTTCTGCCTTGTTTTGAAAATGCCAAAACACAGCTTTGCACATATCAATTATCAGAGGGACATTGAGAAATTCAAATGATGGTTGACGTACAACTTTCATTTTGTAGCAAACATATACTCATCTATTTTACCTACAACAGCTGGAATGCTCTTCTTTAGAGAGCTTCTGCCTTCAAGTCTAACACAGGGAGAGAATACTAAATCTATTTTTTTTAAAAAGTAGCGCCAAGGAGAATGCTGGCTCATTTGCATTCTTTTTTAAAAAAAAAAGTGAATGGTAGGTGGTACATTTAATTATGAATGAAGGCAAATATACGTGTCCCAGGATAATGTTGCAGGATCCAATCTGGGCCAGTCACCAGGACCAGAGGTTTAGTCTTCCAAGTTTTTGGACTCATGCTGGAGCCCATCCTCAGGGAACATCTCTCTAGCAGACAGTGTGTGTGTCTAGTGGAGTGTATGTGTGTGTCTAGCAGTGTGTGAAATGTCTGCTAGACAGAAGTTCCCTGAGGATGGGCTCCAACACAAGCCCAAAAGCTTGGAAAACTAAATCTCTGGTCCTGGTGACCAACCCAGGTTGGATTCTGCAACATTTAATTATATTTATAGTCACATCTATTTGCTCAATTAAAAAAAAAACCAAGGTAAATGGGTATTCCTGATTAATAAACTCAAGTATATGGACTTACGGTTCATTGTGGAATAGCTTTCAGCAAACACTGGAAATTTACGGTAATTAAGTTGACCTAATAAGACATCTACTAGTTTGTTTGTTTTTTTTAAAAAAAATATGGATGTCTGTTTCATGCAACAGATTATTCTGATGAATATGCCTAAGGGAATGGCTTATATATTAATGTCGTGGGTGGAAGTTATTTGGACATACTGTATGTGTGCAGTGGCAGGATCAAGAATCTATGTTGTAACGGGTAAGAGAACCAGATGAATTGTTTGCAATCAAGGATAACAATGTTAATTTGGGTCACCCCAGTTATAGGATGTTTGGTTGAGTTATGACAACAATTCAAACTTATAAAGTTTGGGCTGAAGCTGCCTTATAAATGTGGAGTACAATTGCTAGAGCTTAATAACAGGAATGGGACGGAGTTATTATTTTTGCTGTTCAATATGGGCTCAACTCTACCAAACATTATTTGAGAAATATTTTGTGAATTTTGGAAGTTCATTTTTCTAAAAGAACCTGGCATGACTAAACATTTCTGTTCTCAAAATGATTTTGCAAGCACAAACCTAAGCTTCAAGTGGGTGTCTGAGGTAAGATGTGGAACCAAATATACTATGCTCATCAATGCTATACAGAAGCATAAGAGAATGAGTCTCTCCAAAATCATTTCATCAAGACTTCATTAATGGGACCATGGAATGTGGTATTTGTTGTCAGTTGGGTCTACCTTCTGAGATAAAGTTCCTATAATTAGATGCAGATTTCTGTCCAAAGAGATGTCTTCACTAAATACCTTGAAAGTATATTTGCCTCTGAGTAGGCATTTACTTTGACGTTCAAACTAAGTTTAATCTCAGCTGCACAAATTCAGGTGGCCATTAGATGGCAACATGGTTTGGGGAGTTGTATGTCTCTGCTGCTATCTAATGGTTGTGTAGATTTTTACAACCCCAATGAGACAGTCCTAATATATGTCCAGATGTCCTTTGAAGGGGAATCTTAGGAAAAAGTTAAGCAGTAAATCCTTAAATTCAACTTATATTTAACAGGGTATACAAATAGTCCTTGACTTACAACCATTTGTTCAGTCACTAAACAGTTACAGCATCAATGAACAAAATGACTTGACCCGTGTCCAAAGTTATAGCCATTGCAATGCCCCCAGGGGTGCTTCAACTTGCCTCCATCTGCCTATTGTCTCCAACTTTGAGTCCCCTGCCAACCTAAATGACCTTCAGCTGACCAAGCAAATGTGTCCTGACCCTTTGTATCAAGAAGCCCCTTTATGTTGTGTTGCTGGGTTGGGCCTGAACTTGCTGGTACAACATGGATCTGTGGATGCTGAGCTGGGCTGGGCTTTCAGGTGTGAAGGGGCTTCTCAGTGTGAAGGGCTAGGCTGGGCATGCCTCATCAGCAATGGGTGCAAGAAGATGATGGCGATCTGCTGGGGTGGCATAGCAAAGGGTGGCAGGGGGCCAAAAGAGCATAGATGGAGGAAAAAGGTGAATGGAATGAGTTGAAACCAGTTCCTAAAGCTTGGAGCTGGAATGACTTGGATTGGGATAGATACTTTATTTTTATTTTTTATCACATTCCAAAACACCCATCTCTTTCACAGAGGTCATTACTTGCAAAACGATCTGCGATGCTCAATTAATAGCAATGGGGAACGCCAGAAATGCTGTCACTAAGGAAGTGACATCTCTCTTTATGATTGCATCGGTTAGCGGTGGAAATTCTGATCTTAATTGTGGCCGTAAGTCAAGAACCCTCTGTAGTGTTAAGTTTGCACAGGCACAGCAAGCAAGATAGGTCCACAAAATTTAATCCTTTCAAGCACATGGGTACACAAGTATTTGGTTCTATTTAAATTATTGACTCAATGTGACTTATATTTCCAGCTGTTATGCCATGTTATGCCATGTTCATGATCTCAGGGCTTTAAGATATGAAATCTGAACCAGTATATGTATTTCATGTATTTGTAAAATCTGGTACTTTATTTTTCATATCTTTTTCTGTAAAATCCGTGGGCCTAATCTCCAGATAGTATCATTATGATTTTTCTGTTCAAGAGAATTGGTTGTGTCAAATTTGAGAAGATGAGACTGTTCAAGACAAGCACTGTGCTCCATTTATTCTGGATATGATTTGTGGTTTGCTTTTGTTTGCTGCTCTTCAAAACATTAAACTTTGAGCTGCTTCTGTACAAATGTTACATTGGAATTTATTCTCAAGTCCCTATTGTGTGTCTGGTAAAGGCTTTGTATAGACTTTAAATCAGGAGTCTTCAAACTTGGCCCTTTTATGACTTGTGGACTTCAACTCCCAGAATTCCTCAGCCAGCATGCCTGGCTGAGGAATTCTGGGAGTTGAAGTCCACAAGTCATAAAAGGGCCAAGTTTGAAGACCCCTGCTTTAAATGGATGATGAGGAATGGAAATTAATACAGTGGATCAGCTTTTCTTGCTCTAGAGATGATTTTAAAAAAATAACAATAGTTTACACAAAGAAAGAAAAAACATCCAAGCAAACAATATACAGCATTATACAAAAAGCAATATGATTAAATACAAACATGGAGTTTTTCGTGTTCTCTTAGCATGGCTTGCTTTCTTGCAGACATTTCATTACTCAACCAGATAATATTGTGACTGAAAACCAAGAACACCACAGTTCAACCCTGAGCTATAGATATTTCCTTTTGTTGGAAAAAGTAAATGGTCTGAAAGTTGTTTAGAATTTCCATATAGTGTAAATACAGGTAGTCCTCAACTTACGACCACAATTGAGCCCAAAATTTCTGTTGCTGAGACAGTTGTTAAGAGAGTTTTGCTCCATTTTAAGACCTTTCTTGCCACAGTTGTTAAGTGAATCACTGCAGATGCTATGTTAGTAACATGGATGGTTGTTAAGTGAATCTGGCTTCCCTATTGACTTTGCTTGTCTTTACAGAAAAGATATGGGGATAGATAGTATCTCTCTCTCTCTCTCTCTCTCTCTCTCTCTCTCTCTCTCTCTCTCTCTCTCT